GCCCTTTTTCATCATTAAGTTTTCCTTAGATAGAAAACTTTGAATCAATTTGACTGGATGATCTGGTGAACTGTAAAGTACCTTGAGATGACGTGTTGTGAATTGGCGGATTGACCACATAGAAGATGGGATTATGGGGGCATCTTCCTGCTGGGTGAGCGTAACCTTGGAAACGGCCTCATAAGGCTGGAACTCCCTGCAAATGTTGGAATCCATAAGAAATATCTGGATGTCTGCATCAGAGCCCCAAACACAAACTGAATATCAGCTTTTTTTTTATTTCAACTGTTTCTTTCTCTTCATTTCACCAAAAAGTCCAGATTGATGAGGTTCCTTTCTCCTCCTGAGCTTCAGATCCCTGCAGCTCCTCTCAGCAGCGCTCTGATCTCTCTGATGACAGATCTTGAGTGTTTTTTTTGCTTTTCTCCATGATGTTTATTCTCTAATGAAACCTTCGCAGAATAGATTAACTGAAGATTTCACTAAAATAACTGGAGGCCCTGCATCCATTGAATTAAATTCCAATCCAAACTTCCTGCTCTGAGCTCTGCAGTCATAAAGAGACCAAATGCAGAGCGGCTGCTTCTCCTTCATGGCGCAGTGGAAATGCACCTGCTACAGCCTGGATCTGATCACCGATCAGACCTCTACGCCTGCAAACATGAAGGCATTTCTGAGAGGTGATATCATGCAGACTAAACTTCCAAGTGTTGCCAGCAGACAGGAGGCTTCTGAGGACGGGGTGACACAATCAACGATGCAAAAAGCCAAACAACCAGATAAGACACCTTCCAGCTGCAGCCTCCCAACTGGTCCTGAACTTTCAGCACAACTCTTCAGCTCCGGGTTCAACAGCCTGTTAATAAGCTTCTCCTCCTATCAGCTCTGAACATCAGATAAACCTGATAAAGCTGCAGACTTTATAAACAGGAAAAGCTCGTCAGGCTCTCAGAGCCACCACGTACCAGAACCAAAAGGGCCCCTTTCATGGGGCCCCTCGTGCATTATTGGGTTAAAAGGATAGATGGGAAAAAAAAGATGCAATTGGGAGCAGCTATCAGGTCGGAGATCAGCCATGCAGGCCTATCAGCGGCCCCCCATCTCTGGGAGGGAGAAGGGAAAAGGCAACGGGTGGGGAGGGGGGACTGAAAACAAGTCAAAAAAATAAAAAGATCCAATTTTAATTTTGATGTGAGATTGCTTCAGATCGCTGCCTTATCTCTCCTCACATCAGCGTTTCCACAACAGAGTTAAACACGAAGAGAAGGAGAAACAGGCTGAACACTGAGAAACAGGCTGAACACTGAGAAACAGGCCGAACACTGAGAAACAGGCCGAACACTGAGAAACAGGCCGAACACT